CCATGAGTCATTGTAAAGGCTACGTATGCATTCAGTAACCTCCAACGATGCTTAATGAAGCCGAGGTGCATGGTGCACTCCTTAGGAATTGATCAAGACCGAAAGCTTTTATCCTTTCTTGCTTAAGGCGGATCTCAGGAATCCGTTTATAAACGAGACGAACAGACACAGACAAGAGAAGACAGAAGGCATGAAAGTGGAATGAAAGAACATGCCCACGCGCCGATAATTGCTGTGAAAGTGTCCGATTGACAAAAGGGTAGCTCTAATACCGGACGCATTTGGCCCCACTTGGGGAAGAAACTGAAACGATCTTCGAGAGCACGTAATCTAGCAGAAGTCGAGTATAGGATAGTGAAAGGCTCAGATGAATTGGAGTGGCATAATGGTGATAAGATGGCAGGATATCTGATGCGATCTTACGAACCAATTTGTTAGGAAAGCTAAAATTAAAATTAGGTGAAGCGTCATAAACACAAGAATTTAGCTGGAGACTTATAATGTGTTTGTCATATAGCTGACACGCCGATGATGGCTTTTCCCTTTGCATAGTTTAAACACGCCTAACCAGTCAGGAGATGGAGCCAGTGCAACAAATATTTCGATTCATCCAAGTTGCTTCAATAATGCGCACAAAAAATGGAATTTAAAAATTGATTCAATGTGTGCATAAAAGCCTATACCACGAGGTTTGCTGATATTAAGTACTGTAAATTTCACGTAAAGAATGGAAACTGAGAATTTCGCGTTGTGAAACAAACTTGCTAGAGCATGACGGTGTTCGCAACATCAATGTGAAGTTTCACAAAGATAACAGTTGAGAATAAGTACTCTCCTCAAAACGTTGTGTAGATGGGCAGCTGTAGCGTAGTGTTCTAGAGCTCCCCTGCAATATACACTGACTGGATTGGCCGGAAATTGATGCCGCGCTCGGAATTACCTTTTAGTCCTATTGCATGACTGACATTGAACAGCATGCATTTTGTGAATGTTCAGCATTTCTACAATCAATAGTTTTGGAGACACCAAGTACTCATCTGCCACCATATGGCGGTAAAAAAATGTCCCTTGGTATGTCGATACAACATAGAAGAATCCGCTGCAGAGAGCAGAAGCATTTACTACTAACACAACTACCGCAAAGCAAACAAAGGCATTAAGAAAACACTTCCTGCATATTATTAACACTTTCTGACGATAGTGGTTTTTCGATAATCGACAATAATTTTTCGATCACAAGAGTATTTTTAGAGTGCAGAACTCTAAAAAGTTGTGAAAAAAGCGTCGCTCTATTGCAGTATTTAAATTTATCTTAAACTAAGATTTTCAATAGATTAAAAGCGAAGTCCAAATTTTCAAAATTTCGAGGAGAGGAACGTTAGCTCCATTGTTCGCAATTGGGCTTTGAAACGATAACTGGAAGAAATAAATGTCATGGAGTGGAGAAAATCAGAATTCCATTGTTCTGAGACCAAGAGAGCTCTCGCTCAGACAAAGATCTGTTGATTCCATTAGTTTTATTGTTCCAGTAGTTCCACTTCAATTAATAGAATTTATTGGGAGATGAGATACGTTGATTTAAAGTCGAAAGAGATCACTATTTTCGCATTGTATGACTCCTATAGAGGTCATGTCGTCGCGTGTTTAAATAGGGAAATAACTTTCCTCCGCTGACCTCCTGCACAACATCTGCATTGGGAATGCTGTTGCTTGAGCAATAAAAATATAAGCCGTTAAGTGCATATAAAAGTAAGGCAGAAATTTAGTGCGACAAAAGAAACAGGAGAAAGCTGAAAAAACGGAGGTGAATCACATATGAGGCGTATGATCGGATTTGTCACCACCGCCGTCTACGTACTAATCGTATGTGATGAATCGTGTGATCGCCGATGTGCTAAACATAACTATCTAATGAAATGACTTTCTTACTTGGATACTTGGATAACCCGTATTCACTGATTGTGCGGGCCTCAGCATAATTTCCACTTTCCCGGAATTTTGCTGGTTCAGTCATTATGGTTCCCTAGAGTGCCGAGGTCAGCCTAGTAGTCTGCCCTGGGTTGTGAACACCACAGGCAGTCTCAGCCCTTGTGCATCAGAGGGAGATTTGCCACAATGTGACTAGTTTGACATCAGGGAGTTGGTGGATCTTGGTATTGGTTTAATCTCGCTTGGGCTTCCAGATGGTAACACCGGACTATTCTGAGAATGACAGATTATGCTGTAGAGATGAATCCCTCCGCTGTACATGGCAGCCCGACACTAAGGAACACCTCCCGCTACGATGAGGCGGTAAACCGTTGGAGGGCATTAAAAAACAGTATACAGAATTCCACGGATCCATCAAAAGCTGCTTAGTCTGTTGCAGGAATGAGGTACCGACACAATCCAGTGCGGATTCCCTCTGTTCTTCTATCCCATATTGTCTAAGATGCATCGATTTCAACATATTCACTTCAGACCAATTCATTTTGTCACCAAAGATCTTTTGTTGTAGTTTTTATATCCAGCCGATAGCCCATTCAACACTGGCGCGGTTTCTGAAGTCTGACTGTGAAATACTACTTTGTAGACTTAAAAATCTACAGAAAGCTCTAATTCGGACAATAACAATATAGCAAATTATTAGAGTCGTATTTGCTCACTCGGTCTCGGTGCTCACTGTGCATACGTTCATCCATGTCCTTTAAACCAGTTTGCCATTAAAAACAGTTAAAAAGATAAAAAGATAAAGCTCTCAACCGTTGATCTATCTATCCATGACAGATGCGCGATGCATTCGACTTCATTAAGCATCGTTGGATGTGATTGAATGCATACCTCGCCTTTACAATGATTCGCAGTTGCCTACCGATGTATAGAGCCAGTGCTAATATCCTCTCAGACAAGTCTGTTATCAATCTGCCGACCCCGGGATGATGGAAGTCTTAGTGGGTTAAAGGCGCGGGGATCGACACATTGTGTGTTGCAGAGCGCCTCCGACCACTCCGTTACACGTGCCTCTTAGGAACAGTTACCAATTATCAATACTATATGTGATACAAGCACAATAATGCTGAGATATTTGCAAAACTCCGAACCGCATGTGTATACGGTAGGGAACGAACGCGCTATTACCCTTTTCGGGGACCAATGCGTTCACCACCACACTATGTGGGTCTTCGTTTTCCTGTCTCTCAGCTAGTTCTATTGATCAGCGCCATCAGTAATCACCCATCAAATATTTCAGAATTATTGTGGTTGTATTGCACGTAATACTCTGCAGCAAAAATTATAATAGGCAATACATAAAAGGTTAGCATTATTAATATTATAATTCTGCACTAATGCCCTAGACTCTACATATAACTCAAAACACCCACTTTCTAATAAACCTCGACATAAATAATTGACATGTTTATTTATATGTCCTAATGAAACGATTTTGTTGAGCTCATGCGAGGTTGGTATAGGTCGTTATTGCTGTTGTTGGTGGTGTTGTGGCAGTCCCACTCGCAACAGCTCGGCTGACGAAGGCGAAATCGCCGAAACGTCAGCTATCGACCAACAACACCAACAATAACGACAACGACAACTAATTCCAACGTCGCATTAGCTCGGCAAGATCAGTTCACAAGGATATATAAATAAACATCTCTACATATAATCTGCAATTCCTACCTGCACTAAATTTTCACGTACTTATTGCGATTTTTACATTCTTGCGACAGCCTTCCCATGTCGCAGCTTTGGGACAACGGTGGTGCCAATGTGTGTGCATTTGGCATTAATGCTCCTCTTACTTTTCTACTTCGGCACCATTATATCATTCCATCTCTGTTCTGGTGTCCATTGCTCTTTTGGGCTCATGCCTGCCTAGGTAGTACTTTTCTTTCCGTAGTTGCGAACAAGATAGGTCCCATTTCGGACTTATTTCCCGACTAAGCAGAAACTTTTATACCTATTATCGTTACAGAAGTCTTAACTCATGTAGCAAATTGTACATTACCCTCATCAAAAACTACCTTACATTACATTTAAATCCACATCTTTCAATGAAATCAACACACAAGGATCTTCAACATGTCTTACCTACCAACGAGGACGACTTAACCGTTACTTAATGAAAAGGAACTGTGTCAGCAATCGTAGAGCGTGGTGAATAAAGGAAAGACACCATTTCCATACACTTGATTGCACGGTCTAAGAAACTAGCTCGAAAGGTCGCCATGGTCAGATGTAGAACCACACGTGCCATTGTGGTGCTACGCTAACAGGACAATCCGTAAACGTCCAATATTTTGCAAACCACATTGCCTAAACGCAATGGACAATCACTTGAAATAAGGTAGACGATGAGGTAATTTTGTAGCATGCCCCATAGTCCTTAATTCCAGTCACAGTACTTTCTTACTTATGAGCTCTTGGAATTGTTAGCCTTTGGAACTCCATAAGTGTATGTAGTCACACTTCTTGTCGTTTCATCTTTCACCAATTCTTTCTCCAATGCTTCGAACTTTCATATTGTAAAACAACCGAACTTACCAGTGTAGCTTTAGGAATTGGCTAGGAGTAAATCAAAATTAGTCCTTTGAATTTTCTATAGAACGAAACACAAGTCATTGGCATGAACACTGTCAACACACTCTTGACCTATTTATAATAACAGAATCCCTTTGAATAGATGTAGAACCACATGATATTTCCAGAATAAAGGGAATCAACAAGAAAAAAATATCTCATCACAATAGACCTTTGAAAGTCACAGTACTAGAATGAAATATCCCGTTATAAATCAATCTACACAGACAGAGAAAGGCACTTAAAATGTAGCCTAAAAACATTAAAACGAGCAATTTATCGCTGAACACCTTCGAAAATTAATGTGCTAAGATAGTTAAACAAGAAAGTAAACTTTTATCATAAAACGATGGATATAAGTATGTGTATATGAGGGTACTATCGCAGAGAAGAGCTTTGTTTACGTGTCAAAATTGAACAGATAAATACCATGAAATTATTTACCAACGACGCGCGCCGCCCCAAGCACCACCGACTGCATGTGATGGAGTAGCAGAACCCATATCAGGAAAATGTTCAGCACTGGAGATATCCAGCTGCCAAGGCGCATTATTCATTTGAATGGGTTTATTCACTTTCGGTCGATCTGGTACACGTATCGCGATAAACTGGCTCTGGAACGAGAAACCATTGAGTACACATGAAATGTAAGCATACAGGAATTACAGGCATACCTGTGAACTCATAACCGTAATTAAAAATTAAAAGGGCGCCTGTGCCGCAATGGTTGGAGGCACCGCGGGATACACAGATAAGATCGATCCCCGGGCCCGTGATTCACTGAGCCTTCCATCTTCCTGGGTGAGCAGACTGGTACCAGACCTGTCTGGGAGGATAGCGGCACTGGTTCTACAGATTGGTAGGCCATAATGAATCATTGTAAAGGCTAGATATGCAATCAGTCACCTCCAACGATGTCTGGTGAAGTCTAATACATGGCACATTCCTTAGGGATTGATCAACGCCGAGAGCTTTATCCTTTTATTTTTATCTATAATTCTAATCGGTCATGAATTACACACATGAATAATCGAACAACAAAGATGCGCAATTAAGTTCTTAGCATGAAACAATGTTATGAGGACCATTGTTCATTTATTGTCCTAACTGCGAATTCGCCAATGCAGTGTAGGTACAGTAAGCTTACAGCTTGAAAGGACTGATGAATGGCTCAGTATTTTATTCATCATGTCCAGTACACCACGACTTAACTAACTCCACAAAAGAGGATTGGTTGACTGGAACAGAGATTGAAACACAATATTCCAATGGAATCCTGTTGCACTGAACCCTATTATGTGTCTGATTTCACTACATAGCCAACATCACACCCATATCAGGAGCACCACCGTTGTTAATCACGTTGATTTCCGTAGATTATTTGACGTTGGTACATCTAAATACCGTCTTACTAATAAAATGGATTTGTCGAAAGGGCTACGCTGACAGAACATAAAAAACAGACACCTTTCCCTCCGCTCATAAAGTACCCACACCGTACCGGTAGCCATGCTAATAATAGTTAATATTAAGTAGTTAACAAAGCAAGACGGCGGTAAACTTAAAATTAATATGTGGTAGATTAAACACTCAAGTCCTAAAATACCTTACCAGATAACTGAAAAAACAGCACAGTCAAGTCCAGCAGAGAGTGTCATATAACGATAAAGAAGTAGAACCTGTACCACTTGTCCTCCCACTGCCCGTCTAGAGAATGAAGTGGCCACAATACAGTATCTATTTGACCCCATCGCGTGCAAGAATAGCCCGATGCGTTCTATTCTCTCTAGGAACTCGCAAGCATCGAATTTTTCTTCTGGGATCTTAGCCAACAATCCTGACCATCGGATCACGGTGTTTCTACTGTGTCCGTGACATCCTGTAGAATCTTGGTTCTTGTACATCGGCTGTCGTTTAGACGCACCACACATCCAGCCCAAAATTCTTTCCAGATCTTTGGCATAAAGAACAGCGTACTTGTTCTTTAATCACTAACCTAAGGACGAAACTTCGAATTCATTTTCTCAGTTGTGTAGTGCAGGATACAGCAGCTTCACCCTCTCAATTGCGCTTTCAATAACGTTGAGTTGTCCTCAGTTTTGCTTACCAAGAAACAAGGTTTCTAACGAGCATGTTAAGGTGTAAACAATCACAAAGTCGAAAACGTGGACATGATATATATATATATATATATATATATATATACAACCTTCTAACCTTCTACATTTTTACACCGAATCTCGGTACGGCTTGCAGTCTAAGAAAGTATAAGGACTTCAATTTCCTATAGAGGTCAAAATGTGTGCCCTGGAGTACACGGCACCGTGTCATTACCAATCGTTCCTTAAATAGTCTCCGCATTGAATAATATTACCAAACTACGAGTTACACTACGGTGGGGATCGAACACGCTACTACCCTTTCCAAGAGTAGTGCGTCCACCACCACACTATGCGGGTCCTTCGTTTCGCCTTTCTCTCAGCCGTGTTTTATAAATGATATCAACAATCACCCGTCAATGGGATTGACCTGTAGAGCAGAAATAGGCTGAATCCAGTTAAGCTGAGGTTGTAGTATAAATCACAATGTAGCCATTTTTTTAAAATGAATGTCTGAGTGAATACCGTCCTATTAATTATAGGTATTATTATTATTTACATCATCTGTATCACCTGTTCCACTAAATGTTCCGTTGTTCCCTTAATGAAATATCAGGCTGCTAACAACGGGATCTAGTCCGTAGAATACTGGGTGACATTTCAGCGGTACTGCCTACTTCAGAACCTGTTATTATCGTCCAGAAGTGATCCTCCAAATATTAACCACAGTAGTAGCACACCCGCTTTTTCAGCTTGGCGATCATTTTCTTCTGCTTGTATCGTAAAAAGGTGTGTGGAAGTCCAATTCCGATGTAGAGTAGTTCGTGGATGTCCTATGATGCACCGTACAATTCAAGTAGTCGTTTTCGTTTAGTGGAAACCAGCACGAGTCTATGTTTTAAGCATCATCGGAGAAAATACATCGTTGTCTAGCTAGCACAACATTCTGTCTTAATGATAGGACTTCTTTGACAAGTCGGAAGTATTTTGCTGGTATTTCATGCAGCAAATGTGTGTGCAAATATGAACATGTATATGTATACATATATAGACATGTACATATTTGCATATTTGTATATGCGTAGACATATATATGAATATGTAAAGATAAAAAGGTACAAAGCATAAAGCTCGCGCCTTTGATCAATCCCTGAGGGATGCGCAATGCATTCGACTTCACTAACCATCGTTGGAGGTGACTGAATGCATGTCTGGCCTTTACAACGCCTCTCGGTGGCCTTCTACCGAAGGGACGGAAGGCTTGGTGAGCCTGAGTGCGACGGTCGACCCCGCATGTATTGCACGGCCCCTCTGACCACTGCGCCACATGCGTATATATATATATATATATATGCATATGCGAAAGTAAAGGCTTCTTATGAAAATAGCACAAACAAAAATACGATGCAATGTATACGAACCATATCGACATAGTCACCCTGAAAATCCTCCTCGTCAGCTCTTATATGATCAATGCAGTCATAGACAGCGTCTTCGCTTTTCCCGGCAACAATGACAATATTTGAATCAGAAACGTCACGTGGAAAACGAATTTCTACTCCATAATCGTCCATGAGCTATAAAGGGGTAAAATATCATAGACAAAAAGTACTTCTACATAACACACCTTTCTAAGATTCCTTCCACGTTGGCCAATCAACCGAGGAAGGAATCCCTTATTTACTGTTATCTCCTGAGTAAACATTGAGCGTTGTTCTTCAACTATTTCGTCGATTTCCGCTGCACATGCCCGAGCTGCTGCTTCATATCCTTAAACGATTAGACATAACAACTTTACGCGTTGAAAAAATTAACTGTAGAGAGATCATGGAGTTATTGAGGGGAGTAATTACATGATTCAATGATAAAAAATACTTAAATTTGTGGCATACCTCAATCGGCTCTCACGTCTGGGCTACAACTGTAATTTCGCAAGTAACCACAAGCCATTAAAAACTATTAAAGCATTTACTAAGAAAAAAAAATGGAACGATAAGAAAAAAGGGAACTATTGAGTACATCTCGCCACCTTGAATAGTGATCTGGTCTGATCTCTCATCTGCACGAGGTAGACTGATTTGAACGTCATGTTTGTTCTTAAGTGCGTTGACGGTAACACCTCTTGGTCCAATAACTCGTTGATGGTATTCCGCAGGAACGTCAATGACCAGTTGGAAGGAGCGCAGTTTCTATGCAAAATTTTGGAATGTTTAGAAGAAATTGCTATATTGCGAATGACTCAAAAACTCCTTGACGAGTAAACTCACTCTGTCTTTTGCCTGAGCCTCGAACGTGGATATCATTTCGCGAATCTTCTCGAGGGCTTTCTCAACATTCTGTGCTTGCCCAGTAACTGTGATCTCTTCGCTTTCATTATTCTTTGGAATCAATACATACACGTCGAAGTCTTGCATGATCTTTCGCACCTAAAAGAATGATCCGACACCACAATACATAATTTTAAAGCCCAGTGGAAACTTTTCATATGTGAACACATGTTAAACATAAAACCACGTACTTGAAACTATTAACACCTCAAAATTGTGTTTTAATAGTACTTGGTGAGCTAAGGAATAAGGCTGACGTCTTCACAAAAAAAAAAAGAAAAGTGTATTGGACACCTAGAAAAGGTTGTGTCAAACCCATGCAAAATGAAAACTCTCAATATACCGTATCAAAAGCATTGTTGGTGTCACTACAAATGAGTCCATTCTGTTCACCTCTTCACATCTGGTGCATCGGATAGGTTAACATTATATCTACTTGTAAAGTGCAAAGACGTTATAATGCTCAGACAATAATAAAATCGCAATGTATAACTTCTTATTTACTGCCCACAATTTTTAAAGGCAGGATGTATGCTATACGAAATACAACCACAATCAAGCTGAGATGTTTGCAAAGCACAGACCCCCAGATCATTCTTGTTGACGGCTGATTGCCGACGGCACCATTAGGGTTAAAAACTGGCCGGGAGAAGGCAAAGCAAAGGACTCAGTGATGCAGTGGATAACACATGAGCCTCTGAAAATGGTAATCGCCAGGTTCGAATCTGATCTGAGGTCTGAGTTTTGTAAATATTTCAACTTCATTGTTGTATTTCAAATAATGAAATCAGTCGAAAATCCGTATGAACACGAAGATTCACGTATGTCTACGAAATCGTCGTAAAATATCAATAACTCTTCGCAATTTAGTAGTCGTAAAGTCGACACTCAACATACCGTTTCACCACCTCGTCCAATCAAAGTGCCATGCATATCAAGAGGTACGTTGATCACTTGAGATATCGGAACCATAGACAGAAGCTCAGCCTTTGCTTCTTCGCATTTTGTATCGCGACCGGATATAGTCACAAAATCTTGACCATCATTTTCCTCAGCAGCTTCTATAAAGAGAGTCCTCCGTGAAACATACGTACACATCTTTTTTCATGCACGAATACCTTGTCTGCGTTCAGGGAATCGGATCAACACGTCGTGCTTAGATTGAAGATCATGGATCTTCTGACCACGATTGCCCAAGAGAGCACGACGGAATTGAGATGGAATTTCGACTTTCACGGTCACTTGTCTTTCCTACATACAAGGATTCGAAAGTAGGAAATAACGTCCCAACATCGTTTTAACGATAAAGTCTTACCATATCATCAACAATCTCCTCGATACGTGCTTTCGCTGACTCAACACATTGTTTAGAACCTTTTATATGTACAGTAGTTGATTCTGACCCGATCTAAACAAGGCAGAAAAGTGCTTAAAGTAAACGTGGCTCAAAAATGTTGAATCCAACAAACTTTTGGGAAGGAGATTGCTACTCCACCATTCTGTTCTTGAATTTCATGCAAAACTGATGCACCTCGCACTAAAAAGTGCTTATGATGCTTAACATCAACTTTTATCTAAAATAAGTGCTTTTGAACAATACGTACAGTGGAAATACATGCGTTAAGGATCAACCTTAAAATAAAGTCATACCGTGATCTCGACGGTTTCATTCAGCTGTTTGACGTTGTTTTCAAGTTCTTTCTTAACCTTCAACACGTCTTCCTTTTTACCCAACAAGTGAATCGTCTCCTTGTCTTCATCAGTATCTTTCGGGAACATCACACGTACGTCAAAACTTTCGCGAATCTTGAAAAAAATTCTTATACCACGTTATTTAGTAAAGTTTTTCTAAGCAATGCAGAATAGTGAATGAAATTACTGTTCCAACCCACTTTGTTGATTTTTGAACCACCCTTTCCTATTAAGAATCGGTGGAACTCAGGCTTAGCAACAACGGTATCTTCATACAAGTTAATCTCCTTGTCTTTGGCAAGGTCCGTAAGCAACTTTTGAGCTCTCTGCACATCGGCTTTAGGACCACGAATCGTTACCTAGAAAAACAACACGAAAAGCGTAAGCTTCTAAGGAATTGATTCACGACAGCATATTCTTCTCGATTTCTACCGCCTCGAACAACGTCTAACATTAGCTCGGTTACGAACTGCATTAAAGTCAGTGTGGTAAGCTAGTCATGAGTACGCTCAGCCCCACGTTTAAAGCTTTTCCTTTACCGCATCCGCACCCTCTCAAATGACCACACCTCGTTTCGTGTTCCTTTCCAAACAATCCGGTTTCTCATGTATTTTTCACCTATTGATATACTTCTATTTTATACATCTTGTATGTTCACCAAAAATATATTTCATACTTAAAACAATTCCATCTCTTTGGGTATCAGGAGCACGAAAAAATTCCATCCATCATCCAACTACTTTTTCAACAACCAGAGGTAGCTGATTCTGCTACGACAACCACAACCATAACAAAGATGCTAGCGGTGGATTACAAGGGTGTCGAGATTTAAGCAAAACTCAGAACCTCAGGTGCGTTTCGAACACGAGTTCACCCTTTCCGAGAGCCTACGTGTTATACACTGCACCAACCGAGGCCCTTATTTTGCTTTCCTCTCAGCCAGTTCTTTCACACTAACGGTGCTATCAGCAATCACCCGTCAACAGGAATACAAATCGGCAATGAAACCAGTTAAGCTGAAGTTACAGGCAAAATGAGAATGTTTTCACTTTTAATTGCTGCCTATATTTTCTTCATAGAACGGTTATACGTGAAATACAAGCACAAGAATGCTGAGATGAGCAAAAGTCGGTGCTTCTGGTCCGCTTAGAAGATCTAAGCTAGGGATCGAAGATCTCAACGGATAACTTCAAGGTACAAGCAATTTATAATTTAAATGCTAGTATTGGTAGTATGTCCTGAATAAAAATGAATGAAATAAATGAAAAAACAACAGGAGAATTATATTTGGTGCTAAAGACGATTATCAAAATATGGCGACTCTAAAGTTCTATAAATTCGTTGTACTAACCAAATTAGCATCAGTGACAGCCAATAAGAAAAACCTCCTCTTCAGATTTTTCCAGCAGTAATCAAGTAGCATGGCAGCTCCCATGCTCGAACAAGACCACCACCATGGACTACGATTGCGAGAGAAAGGAACGAATGGCATATGTGCTGGGGTCCGCACAGCTCGTGAAGACGGACCGTCCAAGTAAGCATCCAAATAATCAAATAGCATGCACATTTGACGCAAGAATTATATCAAATATTGTATGTAGGCAACGTAGCACGTTGAAGGGCGCATGTAGTACAGTGGTCGGAGGCGCCTTGCAATACGCACGGGATCGATCCCAGCGCCTCAGGTTCACAACGCATTTTATCTCTCCGGGGTCAGCAAACTGGCATTGCGTCGATACGTGGGAAAGCCACCGCGAGTCATTGTAAAGGCCAGATATGCATTCAATCACCGCCAACGATGCTTGATGAGGTCGAATGTGTGGCGCATTCCTCTGGAATTGACGAACGCTGAAAGCCTCAAGTTCCACTGTATGTAGGAAAAACCATTTGCAAAAGAGTGTAAATTGCAAAGGTTGTGAATTATAAGGAGCATTACGGCAACTATTACTAAAATAGTTGCTACTCCTTCGTCTTATCGTGTGTTCCTACAATAACCACATTCGTCGTCCCTTATATGGCTTTGCAATCTTGCAGTATGTGTTTCCACTTTATTCTGAGAAACTTTGCTTGTCACAAACAACCATTGTTATCCAAACTGCAATCGTAACTTTTCCGTGTTGTTTCTGTTCCAAGCTGCCAAGACGTACGATGACACAAAGGGCATGACGTTGTTTGGGAAACCGTCCCCAGTTATCTGATCTAATCCAGAGGGAGCTGGATGCGGAAGTCGACAAATGTTTTTGGTAAAAGTTCTAGACCTGTGCCAAAACACCTCCTCCTTCAGAAGACATTTAAATAGCTTCGTGAGTTTAGTCCCGCATTGGTTTCGTTAGGGCCCCTCCCTGTTCATCATGTGTGATACGCCATGTAGTTAACTTTGTAACTGTGTTAACTTTTCTTGTACGTGTTCACTATTGTATATTAACTTTACTGTTGCGTATCTTACATTTTGAGCCTGTACTGCCATTCGATGTTCACATATTGTTATTCTTCAATAATGATTTTTATAAACTGTTAATTACCTAAATATTGCTCTGCGACAACTACAAAAAGGTCTCGCGTGGCAACTTCTAGGAAGTCGAGCATCCTACTTAAAGCTAGTGATCATAAGGTGCCGAGAGCTGGCTCGAACACTTTCCACTAGCACCCAAAGGCACGTACACGTAACAGGTAACGCTTGCAAAAACATGATTTGTAAAAAAAGAACATGTTTCTGAGAGCAACATCTAAAAAATCGGTGAAAAACTATGAAAACAAAACTGCCTCCAAGAAGTATACTAAGTTTCAGCACATTGGTGAACGCACACAATGGATACTAAGTATAAACAAGTTTACACTACAGTTAGATTTATAAAAGACTGTTCAACAGCTCACTAGGTCATCGTAGCAAGAAAGTATTCCCCTGCCTAAGTTGGAAAGTACTAAACAAAAACTACTCTCTTTGTGAGCGTTGAAGAAACGCAAAAACAGTTTTTGCAAAACATTAAATGTAAAATAATGAATTTCGAGAAGAATACTTAGAAAACTATGTAATACGGAAGTTATGGACTGAATACAAAGTTATGGATTGATGTGCAAAATGTGATGTTCTCTCGACCCGCGCATGCCGCAAAAGTGTTAGAGGTAACTCGAGTAGAAAGTATGAAAAGTTCTTACTTTAGTGCTATCGCTTTTTTCCACCGGAAACTTTATATGGACACCTCCACACTCTTCCTCGATGTTCGAGATTAAATGACGTCCGTTACCGAGAAGTCGAGCCTGCACTTTCACGGGAATGTTGATTTCCACAACTTCTACGTTTGCCTAAGATTAAAAACGGTATAATATTTATAAATATAAGTATATATATATATATATATGCATAGGAAAAGTGGAGAACTAACATGCTCGTTCTGAATTTTGTTCAGTTGCTCGATGGCATTTTCCACATTCCTCTTCTTTCCAGTGACGCAGATGCGGTCTTCACCAGAATTGCTCTTCAATGAATGGAAGATTGAAGATGATAAAAAACGTTCCATCAATCATATTTATAAGAAAATATTCAAAGTAATGTAGAATACAATACTTCATAGCAAGACCATGTCATTATTTGACCATCAGCAGATTTTTCACCTGTAATCCATTTTATTATCGACTTGAGTCCAGTGGGGCACTATCAAGGTAGTGATTCTATTGGTAATCAAATCATTATATGGAACCTTTCATTATCGTGCGCTAATGTATAGTACAGAAACAAATAGCATCAAACATACTGTACTATACCCTTTATTTTTACTGTTATTGAGAAAACGTCATGGATAGCTTGGATTATGGAGTCTATTATATTGCTGGCCTCCCAGCTGTTTACCGATCCATCTTTGCTGGGAGGTGATCCAAGGTGTCAGGCTTCTCCCAAGCTGAGTCCGGCGCTTCTATCAAGAAGCCCAGCTAAGAGTAAACTAATGCCAGGAACCACCACCGTCCTAGTATCAAACTAATCGCATGGTGCCAAGTTTCCCTCTGATCCACAAGGCCGGCGACTGCCTGTGGTAGTGACGACCTGGTACAGAATTTGTCTAGGCTGACGACACTCCAGGGAACAACAATGGCCAAACCAGCAAAACTCTGAGAAAATGGAGTTTATGCTGGGACCTGCACAACCGTTGAAGACGGGCCATCCAGGTATCCAAACACGTAATAGCTTGCTGGAGGTGGACCCCATACTTTTGTTCCTTTCTGTTTGAAAAAGCATAAGTATATCCCAATTACATGACCACGAAAGTGCAAATCGATCCAGCCGTATGAATATGCTCTCTTTATTTTACGACCCGTCTTAAAGCCTACTGTGCGGATCCCAGCCTCGTGATAATCGACATCACTACCACTTTGCTGTAGTATGAATTTGTATTCTCTTCGCTGCTCATAGGATTCAACAAACAATTGCACTGAAGTTGGCTGCCAAAGAAAAAATAAAAGAGTCTAGTTCAAAGCAATCTTGCACCACTTTTAAAACAAAATATGGGAAATGTTTGAACCAGCATACTTCTGGCAGGTCAATACGCGTTCGAGTCTCTTCACGTATTTTCTTGATAGTAGCACCACCCTTGCCAATGATATGCTTGTGAAATTCCTTGAAGATCGGGACTGTCTGTTGGTAATTACTTTCTGCCTGGAATTACTTCGCTGCTACAGGAAGGAAAACATTCAAACAACAAAACCTTTGAAACAAAAGATTCACAAACATACCAAGTCTTTAGCCATGTGTTGAAGCTGTTTGTAAACTTTATCAACTTCGGTTTTGTCTCCACGAATGTTGATGACATCGGACCTTTTGTTCATGTCAGGGAAGGAAAGCACCTAAGCACGAAAATTTAGGACTACCTCTAAGGCAAAAAATTCGGGAAGAATACGGGTGGGACAACAATCTGTGAAAATGAACTAACAACATTGGGATGTGCTTCACGAATTTTCGCAATGTTCTCGCCTTTTGTTCCAATGATTAGCTTGTGTAAACGCTGTTCAACAATAATATCTCTCGACTTTTCGTTCTCCTAAAAAAAAATTGACTGCATCACCTAGTAAAGAAGTAGATAACGGCACGTAAAAAAGGATAAACGGATCAAGCTATCGGATTGATCAATCCCTCAGGGATTGCGCCATACATTCGACATAATTAAGCACCGTTTGAGGTGATTGAATGCATATCTGGCCTATACAATCGCTCGCGGTGATCTACCGATGTGTCTAGCTTCCCGACTCCGAAGAGATGGAGGGTTTGGTGAGTCTGAGCGCATGGTTCGATTCCATGTGTATTGCAGAGCGCCTCCGACCACTGTACTACACGCGCACAATGGCGTGTAAGGAACCGTAGTCCGTTTAGAGAGATTTAAACCACATGCGTACCAACACACCATTGGATATGTAAGAACTAAGAGTGTTAATCTAAACAACTGCATCGTCAGAGCAGGGTAATTGGGTCTGAGTATTAAGTTGTTAAAGAAGTAATGTGAAACCAACTATTTTCGAGACAACGCTACGAATCTCTTCAACAGCCTTTTTGACACCATCTTTCTTGCCCTCTACCACGATTTCGTCCGAGTTCGTTTGTTCATTAGGAATAGAAATCTGCACACCGGTCTCATCCTTGATTTTGGAAACTGAAGATATATGGAACTAAAGGTAAATCGAATAATAGAAGTGATGTGAAGGATGAAACATACTCAGCGATCCACCACGCCCTATGACGTGCCTATGCAAGCTTGGATGCACTTTCACTTTTTCGATTGCCATTTCCTTCAAAAGGCGAGAGACTTCAGACGACAATACACTGAGAGCAGTCTAAAATAGCTCTAGCACATAGACACGAAAACGATAACCTAGTTAAAAAGTGTACTAGGATGAAGAAATAAACAGAAAACAAATAGAAAAAAAACATGGAAACACACCTTAACCTCTTCTGGAGCACCTTCCAAGAAAATGCGACCAGTGTCTTCGAAGTCAATTTGCACCTTGTTTCGATTTGGTACGAGCTGCTGAAGAAAATTCTTGGGCCATAACAAACTTCATTATATTGAAGACCTCGATAAAATTTGCCCTAAAAATATCTGAAGGAGACCTGCAATGTTGTTCCTCTAGGCCCAATAAGATGTTTGTGCAACCAGGCAGGAGCGTCGAGTTGTTGCGTGATCACCGAACTAGCTCGCTGATAGACAAGAGCGAGTGCTTCACCAAGTTTGTTAGGATCTCCACGCAGAGTGATAGTATCAGAGTTTTCATCTTCATTTGGAACCTTAAAAAAGACTCGACTTCTTTAATTGGTATAATAAAATTTCCTTATCGAGTTTTTTTTTTCCGAAAGTTGATAATTGCTTGCGGTTCACGTAATTTTGTACTAGTACACCACCTCTAGAGTTTCTGCGGAATGATATCTTGGTGACTTTCAATGCTTTATTAGTGACGTGAACGTTTTCAAGTTCACCATAGTTTTTAGCTGTGCTACTGATGAGGATGTCTCCTCAAAAACAAACTAAAAGTAAAACATGTCAACATTTGTGATGGTTTTGGGACTTTTCCTCTCGAATTTTGTTGGTTTTCTCTTGTTGGAATTGTTGAAAAAATGAATTTTTCGTGAAGGATGTGATGGCCCGCCCTCGTATAGGACAACAGCAACATCGGCTAGCAAAACCTATGGCGTATTAGGACGTAGTCTACTTCACTGATGTACTTTACAGGGATCTTGCACGCTCAACGTGGATCCGTCGTGTCGTAATCATTACAGCTTCTCGGAATATGGATTAACAAGCATGGTTCTTGGCCGTAGCGATGAACTAGGACAAATTCTCACCTATTCCGTTTCATACAAGCCGTGCTAGTTCGTTTTCAAACGCGTTCTTCAGCCGTACTTCTATCCTGCCTCATATGACATATGTTCATACTTGTGAAAGTTTTCTAGTTCCATATAACTTGCCTGATTCCACCCGTACTTTGACGTTGGAGAATCAACGACAAAAAATGGCAAAGCTGTTACTGATACACATCTATCCAACTTTAATTTCCTGGATAGTTAGTCATAGGAAGAATCGCTAATTATGGCCAGTCTCTTTTTGACAATGATACGAATCGTGTTACCCCTAAAATCGGAGCAATTCTTCTTCAGTCTTATACGAAGCATTTAATGGACACTTTTTTCTCGCCTCAACAAGACGTAGTTGATTTTCCTGAACTGTATCATTGAGTTCTCTAGTGGTTGAGCGAATTGCCACTGCGATCCTCTCAGTCTATCCAAGTGCCCTATGGAGAGCTCTCGCAGAACCAAAGGACTATCTCGTTTTTGGAAACGGAAACCCCTAGATAATTTCGTTAATAGATATTTCAGGACTAGACCTGAGGCTTGGTTCATAAATGAACCATTTCGAAATCAAATGGCTTCAGGCTCGCACCGATACACGAATGCCTGAATATGTGGACGCACACCGAAAGTATACGTCAGTGCGGCAAAGGTGTCACACGGAGTTGATTCCGTGGGACCAACATCGTCTCAGTATAAATATCTATTTCACCTACTCTTCTCATCTAACCTCATATCATCAACCTGAAAAAGCAACATGTACCTCAGTCACTAACCAACTAAACTTTACGAACTATACATGCTCTCTTATGAGGATGTAGCGCGATGGTAGAGACACCGCTCAATACGCGCAAGCCCTTAGTTCGACCTAACACAACCAACCAAAATTCCAATCTCTCCGGGGAAGAAAATTAGTATAGTTTATCCGAAAAGTTCCCACCGACGCACAAAGACGGATGACTCCCTGTAGTCTAGAGCTTAAGAACGCCCTAGTACGGTTGCGACAGGATTCCAAAGAGAATTAACTCGATAGACATTCAACGACATTCATGAGAAAGACCAAAAATACACGACCAACATTTGAGCCCACACAAGAATCTGGGAACCTGAAGACCATCGGAGATAACTGTTCCGAAGAAAGGAATTCAATAAAGGAAGAGCTAGAATTATCATACATGATGCTGCATCATGTAAAAATAAAAGTGCGTGCTTAAAACGAAGATAGTTTGTGCTAAAAAATTTTTCACCTTCAGATGTTACAACATCGTGAATACATATTTTTGTGGAATTTCACCAAATTTCTTGCTCAATTCAATCTAATTCCTCTTCCAGAAATGATCCCTAGGTGAAGTTGAGATGACAGGAACCGAAGCAACATTCTGTTAGGAGAAACACAATAGCCAATTTTCCTAAAAGTTTCTTACCTCAACAGAAACTCCGGTTTCCTTGAGAATAGTGTGGAGACCTGATCGTTGCTGCCCAATTATATAACGGTGTTGGGCTCGTGCGACGGTGCACGTTACTGACTTAACCGTTGCTTGCTAGAAATTGAACAGGTCTTATACTACTTCCAGTTCAGACGGCCTAAGTGTTACAAAGACAAAATGAGTACGAATACCTTATTTGCAATGATGCCGCGGATAACTGCAGCTGCTTTGTGAACACCATCTTTTTCTCCATTGATAATAATAACCTTAAACGCCTTCCTATATAAAATCCGTATAAAAGCGCCATATCGAAAAACAAGTTGAACGAAAAAAAAGCTAATAACGATCGACTACCTCATTGTTAGCTTGATTGGGAGGAATGTTAATCTTGGCACCAGTCTCCTGAGTGAGTTTGTCGCATGTCTCATTGAACGGACCGCGAACGAAAGGGAAGAAAATGCGCGGACAAATGATTTCTTCCGTTGCCAGCTTTGACTGAATCACAAGTAAGATAGAAACCTCTTGAAGACAAATTAAAAGCCACGAAAGGTAAATACAGCAACTCTCCATGACGATTTTTCATATCATTAGGAATTATTTTACACGTGCATGTTCTTTTCCATAACACCAGTTGTTATGAATTTCGACTTTTTTAACTCCACATACTGAATTCCGAACCAGTAAAAAGTAAACACCTCCTAACGTTTTACCGCCTCATCGTGGCTGGGAGGTGTTCCTGGGTGTTGGGCTACGATGTATGGCAGTGGGGTTCATTCCCTCAGCAGGGCGTCCTAAGCGGAGGAGCCCGGCATTCCCATTACGAAGCCTATCTGAGAGTAAACCAGAGCAGGATCCACCACTGTCTTCGTATCAAACTAGTTGCATGGTGGCAAGTCTTCCTCTGATCCATAAGGGCAGCACATACCCGTGGTGGTAACAACCTGTGACAAACTTTGGCTAGGCTGACCTTGGGGCTCCAGGAAACCATAATGGCTAAAGCAGCAAAACTCCGAAAAATGAAGATTATGATGGATGGAGCCCGCACAATCAGTGAGGACGGGCCATTTAAATATCCAAGTATTTTTAATGGCAGTGCAAGTATTAATGTGAAATACAACCACAATGATGCCCAGATATTTGCAAAACTGAGACCCGAGACCAGATTCGAACCTACGATTACCCTTTCTGGGAGTTCACGTGTTACGCATTACACCACGGAGGCCACTGCTCTTCCTTTCTCTCAGTCAGTTTTCTATTCTATACTTGAATCATTAACTCAAAAACTGCTTATCATATGCGCGAAAATACACTAACCTCTCTGTCCGAAACAGATCGAATGTAAGCGACTGCTTTCTCGATACCCTCACGAGGCCCAACAATTTTGATCGTTTGCGAAGGTGTATCCCTACTAGGAATCGTTATACGGCAGTTAGTATCGGCTTCTAGTTGACGAAGAGCTGCACCTTCTTTCCCTTAAAAAGCTCAGGTAATTTAGGAATAACGGATATCTGTAAAGATACGTAAACAGCAATAGAAACTTAGGTTTATCAGAATAAAACTGACCTATTAATTTCCGATGGTGATCCTTAGGAATGTCAAGATCGCGTGAACATTGAGTTTGCAAATCTCGTATGAGACGTGTTCGTGCCTCTTCCACCTTGTTGCGAAGACCTTTGATGACCACTGTCAACGTGCCATCTTTCGATTCACTAAGTTCGATCCGCGTGTCTGACAAATCAACGAAATTCTACCAGTGCTTTTTTGTTCTAATAATTAATAGTAAACAAAAAATATTTGAGTATTTAAACTGCACGTTGAGAATTTAGACCACAAAACAAACCGGTTGCAGCAGCTACGGCCTGGCATTTCTTATGTTCTTCACTGGTATTTCCACCAAAGCTCTTCACTTTATTAGCACGTTCACTAGCGGCTAAGACGAAGGACTGAAAGTACTGCTTGTAGGCACCAGAAATTCCTGACCACAACACTGCTAATTTGCAAATATTCAGAATTAGGGCAAAAACTAAACAACAATCCTCACATGTACAATTGTCTTGGTTCCCACAGCAGGCCTAGACCAAGCTCCTAAGGGTCTAGCAGAAACAGAAGAGGCCTCGGGTAGCTTAGGGAAATCCGTTGAGTAGTCCATCTGAACAACATCGACAGGGGCGGTTGAAGCTGCCAACGACTCGGGATCTGAGAATAATTCAGTAGACAAGGCTTCAACTCTAGTTGTAAAAATGTACAGTCAATTAGACGATTTTGACTGAATTTCGTCTTTACGCAATTTTTCTGTACACTCAACACAAACTGTGGGCATTCACCCTGAACGTCGTCGCTGAAGTGACTGGGTTGAGTCCGAGTATAAACAAAAACCGCGAACGACCTTGTGACATACGATCGCCTGCTATAGTTTCGAAAACGAATAACCTTACATAAACCACCGTCATAGAATTCGCCATTAATATTGTTACATTTTATTCACGCTGTGAAAAGGTTGCTATACTTGCTACACTCATTTTCACGGAACTTGGATGGCAAGTCTTCATTGGTTGTGCGACCCTCAACATAATTTCCATTAATTCGGAGTTCTGCTGGTTTAGCCACTGTGGTTTCCTGAAGTCCCGAGGTCAGCCAGGTCAAAGTCTGCCCCAGGTCTTCATCACCACAGACAGTCGACGCCCTTGTGGAACAGAGAGACATTTGCGACCACGCCACTAGTTCGATGCCAGGACAGTGGTGGGACCAGATATTTCCACTGAACGGGCCGCTTAACTCACTTTTCTACCTAACCTAAGGCTAGATCTTTTAGCAAAGCGGAGTGCAATAGAAAATTTAATTGGGATAATCTACGATGCATGACAAACATTGCAGTAGATTAACACGATCACCTTCAAGAAATACATAGGAGCTCACTGTTCTCTTGATTCTCATCGTATCTACGGAACAAAAGAAAATCTGAACTGATAACACATCGCAAGTCAACCTTGACTCAGTATTCCAGACGAAGCATACTTCTCAGTTAGGATGTTAATTCTCCCTCCTATGCTACTTGGTTCTCGTGGATAAAACGAATATTTCCCTAGAAAAGACATGGAAAGCCCCCATAGATGTCACAACGTAGTTAAGCGATAATGGTAGCTCTCATCTCTTGACAAATGTCTCCTTTTTTGTGCTCCCCAGATCAATGCCGCTAACGGGTGATTGCTGATAGCAACCATAGGTTGATAGCAGGTCTGAGGGAAAGGCTAAACGAAAGACTCGCATGGTGTGGTGGGGAACGCGTTAGCCCCCGGAAGGTGTAATAGCGTGTTCGATCTCCATCGCAGACACCAGCGGTCAGGAGTTTTACAAATACCTCAGCAGATTCCACAGGTGAGGATCATGACAGCACACGTAGCGCCTGCTACCCACATCAATCGATAACTGTTCTGGCGCACAAATTTGCTCCACATTTTTAAAAAATTTTTGTGAAACATTGCAGTACTAACGATTAGCAGCTCCATTACTGGAGTGTCCGTTCTGTTCAAATTCATGTCCGTTGTGCATGGCTCGTGTACGATTGGATGGGCTATTCCGGGCCGGTTCCGCAAGACAGAAAGCAGCAAGTCGGTAGGGTTGAGCCGAAGGAACCTGTAATAGGACTAAGTATAGCTTGCACTAAGCAGTCGAACGAACGAACATTCAAGAAAATGCCTTAGTTACCACGCATTGATTGCAAGATAACTGATAAGCGAGGTCACAAACCAGACAAAAAGAAGTCATCCGATACGAGAATCGATAACACGGAATGGTAAATGCATTTTTGGGAACAAGTTAAGCGACTATCAACGGATTTTCGAAGTGATATTGATCAGTATAGGAAGGTACATATGATTTAGTTGACTGGTCGGTCGGGAATGTCAACTTGCCGATGTTTATATAAAGGATGATCGAGTGACTAAATGAAAGCGAGAGTAGCAGAGAATGACGAATACCTTTGATCAAGTAAGGAATCAATCGATTTGCTAAACCATGGATGAGTTCAGCAGTAATCGTTACCATAAAGTAATTCATAGACAATAATATAATGTTGAGATTGGAACAACACTGCACATTTCCTTCCCACAAACGACTTCCGGATACAGAATGCTTGGCTCTTCGGTCATAGGGTTGACAAACCCAACCGCTCTAGGGAATTTGACCCCAACTCCTCACACTAATGACAGAAAAAATATAAGCAAACATGAGGTTGGTACAGATCTTCGTTGTCGTTGTCGTTGTTTTTTTTTGTTATTGCGGGAATCCCGCACGTAACATCACGGCTCTGAGGAAGGCGAAGTCGCCAGAACGTCAGTCATCGATCAATAACATCAAAAACAACGACAACGACAACGAAGATCTATACCAACCTCGCGTCAGCTTAAGAGGATCAGTTTATAAGATCACATAAATAAATATATCAACTATCCATGCCGAGGTTTATAGAAAGTCGGTCTTTCGAGTTAATAAGCAAACATGGTTTGGATCCTAAACGATTACCCATCACCCTGAGATTATACCGTAAAAGGAATACAGTTCATACGAGGCCAATTCGTCCATTGAATGTTCAACTCCGTTTCTCAAGTCACAAAACCAACATTTAAGGTTGGTCATGGAAGTTTACGAGAATCTGTAGCTGAATCCAGGGGCCGACGGTCTTCCCGGGATGACGACAGGGACTGAAACGAGTCTGAGGGGTTGACTCTCGGGGTGAAGGGGGAGTCGACTGAGGGAGGAATGTGGAGATGGGCTGATGGTTAGGGCGAGCCGCCCGCGGAAGAGTGCGGTCGACAACGAGAGAACGACGCGTGGCACACTGCAAACTGCCGGCAGGCGGTCAGTCGGCTCTGTATGTACAAAACCGAACTCGTAACTATATCATGTAAGCCCAGCTAGTGAGAAGTCACTGTGGAAATGAGGTGGAGACATGAAGGACCTTCTAAACCAATCAATAAAAGCACTATAACATGGAAAATTGAGAATGGTGGTCCGTCTACAACGAGTAGGGATTTGATTAGAACGCCTATAAACAGAAAGATCAGTTTGTACAAGTGAAGAAAACTTGAACTGTAGTGGTTCCTACTCGATGGAGAGTTCCAGTAGTGAACAGCAATATTACTGTTTTGACTACAGAATAGTGACACAATACGTAACGAAAAGCGAAGGGTTTCTGAATAAGTGGTGGTGTTTGGTCAACGAACCTTTCAAAGAGATGCTATCAACGAAGCGTCCAAGGTCAGCGACAAGAAGATAGGTCAGGTCGGATCCCGCCGCCAGCGCATTCTATCGTTGCGAACGGTCCAGTCGTTGGAACTGAACCATCAAATAGATTTAAAGTCGCCCGCTTACCATCCAGAGAAGTCTGGTACCAATTTGTCGACCTCGAAGGAATAGGCTTGGTGATCCTGGAGTGCGGGGATCGATCCCGTGTATATTGTATGGCGCCGCTAACCAGTAGTTTACAGGCTCTCCCTCGATCTAAACCTGCAAGAATACAAAACACATCGGTCGACGACAACCAAGACAGGTTAGGTAAGGTGTAAGTACTCCACAGACAGCATGTACTGATGAATGTGTATCCTCCTGAAAGAATTCCATCCGCAGTCACGACGACATGGGCCAAAGCAGTAGCGGACGGCTAATACGTGTAAGTAGACAGTTAGACGAGTTATCCCTGACCCACACCGTAATCCGTCCGAGATTCCTCAGATACTCTTGCAGTTGCACTGCTTATTGTTCAGTTGGTCTCTTTCATTTCACTTTCTCTTCCCTACTTCGTTGTTTTATCGAAGTTCTGTCTTCCACAGGTAGCGATCTCATTCTGGTTTCCAGGGGAATAAGGGAATAATGGTCTCGCCGACATAGTTGTGCTTACTTTTCAACGTGAGTCGCCTTTCTGGTCTCCTCGTCGACAGAATTCTACTTCGTTATGTGATATGTTGAGCCTCTGTAATGTACTGTTATGTGCTTGCTTCTTAGTAAGACATATGTAAGGAAGAAAGTGGTAGTTGTTAAATTCAAATTCTAGCCTTTATTAGGACGGTTAAAAAATGGATGCAGTGAGGAGAAACCCGGATATCTCTGTGGATGATCTCCAATCAGAATTCGACTACCAAAGTGAGGTTGAACGACGTAAGCGGAAACGATCCGATTTCAATGAGAAGGACTGTAATTCACTGGTAAGTGAAAGCCTTTGCCATCTGAAGCGCAGTACACTTATTAAAATAAATAGAAACCGGCTGAGAGAAAGGCGAAACGAAGGACGCGCATGGTGTAGTGGTGAGTGCGTTAGCCCCGGCAAGGGTAATAGGCGTGTTCGATGCGCACCGTGGACATTTGCGGTCCGGAGTTTTGCAAACATCTCAGCTTCATTGTGGTTATACTTAATGCTGTTCTTTTTTATAAATGATAAGTCTGTCTATAGGAGAAGAAATCGGGACGGAATGAAGCGCGAGCATGGTTCCAAGATGAGCACGGTCGTGTGCATAGGTAACTTTAACATCCATTTCGTCAATGGAAGGATTAACAAGGCTGAAGCTCTAGACAAATGTCAAGATTGATGGTAATGGACGCTTACTCCCGGCATAAGGAATTAATAAATTTGTACTACTTGTCTTACCCTGGAGCTACGAATATAATGAAGCGGGACACAAGCAAAGACAGAACTGATTACGATGTGCTCAAGGTATGACCGTTTTCCTATTAGGTTGTGATGATGCCCCTATTACTTGCTTATTTTCAGGATAACCACAAATTTTTGTGGAGCGATAGTGACGAAGCTTCTCTACCAACGAGCTGGGAAGCTCGAATGGCCAAGAAGTATTACGACAAACTGTTCAAAGGCTAGTAAGTTCGATTTTGATACGGTCCCAAGTAGATTTTCAGGTGATTTTTAACAAAAATAATTCTTCGTTTGTTCCACTCCAGACGTCTTCTATATTGTTTAGAGTACTGCATCATCGATCTCACTTATTTCAAGAAAAATAAAATCGCTATGCGGTGGAGAACCGAGGCAGAGGTTCGTTCGGGGAAGGGCCAATTCATCTGTGCTTCAAAAAAGTGTCTTGTAAATACGGACTTGTCGAGCTGGGAGGTGGGTAACATATGGATCTTTACTACATTTCTTTGGTTATTTTGTAATGTTAGTAATCTTTGAAGGTAAATTTCTGCTACAGTGAAAATGACGAGAAGAAGAATGCTCTTGTTAAAGTAAGGTTATGTCGGCAGTGCTCAGAGATGCTCAATTATGGTTCCCAGAAAAGAAGAGTAGATAAGAAAAGGAATGTTAAGAAGGTGAAGGCGACTACTCAGTCTTCTGATCAAAGTAGCAAGAATAGAGAACCGTTGGATAACGACAAAGTGGCAAAAGATGGTAGGTTTACTAATTATATCTCACTTCCTCATGTTATAAAATTGTACCTACTATTTCAATGAACTTCGTAACGGTACTTTCCGCCTTAACGTATGCGTCAGAAACCTGGTTGCTACTTAAGCAGGATGAAACATCACTCAGCGTTATTGAACGATCAGTCGAAAGGACGATAGTAGTATCCCGTGTCACATATGTAGGGGAATGGATCCGAAACTCCGACCTGCGTCAACGATCAAAAATCAAAAATACTGTTCTATACGACAAACTGTTGAGGATAAATGTGACCGGGCACGTAATGCGTGTAAACGAAACGGATGGACAAGAGCCGTTAATGACTGGATTCCTCGGGATGTCAAACGCACGGCAAGAAGACCACCGACCGAATGGTCAGAGTTCTTCACGAAAAATCTGGAAAAAAGATATTATGCTAAACGAGTCCCTAGAGCGAGGAGAACCCGCTGGGCTACTCTTGCACGCAACAGGAAAAAATGGGAGTTTTACTGGTGCGTGCACGAGTCACTCGACGATCAACGGTGCTATAGGTGATACAGGTAATATCAATGAAAAAGCAAATGTGTGTTGGTGAGCTACGTCAGTTAGTAGTAGCTGTTCAAAGGAAAAAAATCTGCCTTCAAGAATAATAGTGGTGCTAAGCTCGGGGTTAGCACGGACGTGGTCAATTTTTATTTTTTCGGAACTTTTTTTCGCTTTTGCTTGCTGCATTACTAAACAGGTTATCTTCCTGTTATCTATGTTGCCCTAAGAGGCGCGTATAGCGTAGTGGTCATGGCACATGGAGTCGATCGCCCAAGGCTCACCAAGCCTTCCATCGTTCCAGGATCGGTATATTGGAATCAGACTTGTTTGGGAGGACAGCAGCACCAGCTCGATACATCGGTAGGCCACTGTGAATCATTGTGAAAGCTAGACATGTACCTAATCAACTCAAACGGTGTTTAATGAAGTCGAATGCATGGCACATTCCTCAGAGATTGATCATCACCGAGAGCACTATCCGTCTATCCATTATGTCCTAACACATGAAAACTTTGTGTGTTGTTGGGCAAGTCGTTGTCATTCGAGAATTTGGCTGTTGCGTATGCCTTATTTTCCATCAATTTTTGAAGGTTAGTTGAAAGATCTTCCCACTTAGTGAAGATTTTCACCGACTTTCCTCCTCTCGGCCCATCTGTTTCCTATTGTAATCCATTCATATATGAGTTTCGTTGGAAGGCATCAATCGATGCCTAGCACTGAGTTGTATTCAATGCATTTCCGCTATTTTTCTTTCCGGTAGGCAGACCTTGAGTCCATGCTTATATAAGATTGGGAAGAGGTTGAAATTACAATACTTAACTTTTTATTTGTTGCCTATTATTTTTTCATAACAGGGTGTTTTGTGAAATACAACCACAGTGATGCTGAGATAGATGCGAAACTTGGACCTCAAACCAGATTTGAACCCGCGATTACCCTTTCTGTGGTTCACACGTTACTCGCCGCACCATGGAGCTCTTTACTTTGCCTTTTTTTCGGTTTGTCCTAACGGTGCTATCACCAATCACCCGTCAATGGAAATGGTCTAGAGTGCACAAATCGGCATTGAACTTAAGCTGAAACTACAGTCGAATGTTCAACATTTTATTTACTGCCCCTTATTTTATCATAGTAAGATATTATTTGAAATACAATCATAATGAAGGTGACTGTATGAACAAAAGTCGAAAGTCCAGATACGCTGAGACTGAGAGAAAGGCAGCGGAAAGGCCTTAGTAGTGCAGTGGGTAACACGTGAGCCTTTGGGAGGAGTAGTCATGGGTTCGAAGCTGAACTGGGGTTCCGGATTTTGTAAATGGTTCAGCATCAATTGAATTTAAAAAACCAATGTGTCATATTGTCTTGAATACTTTTTTCTTTCTTGAAATATCGTTAGATATCCGAAATTACTGTGTCGTTTTCTTTTTCAGCAATCGCGAGGTTGTTAAACAGCACGCATTTGCTTCCATACAAAAACACACAATACAACAGTAGCCGACGTTTCGGCAGTGTCGACTTCTTCGGAGCCGTTTTTACGTGCCTTCCACTGAGGTAAACAAGCACAACTGATTATAGTCGCATATGGCTTATAGTCATCATCATCCTACGTCATCAACCATATGCGACTCTACTTAGCTGTTTTTTCCTTCCTCAGTGGAAGGCACGTAAAAAGTACCCTTAAGAACGCGATACTACTGAAACGCCAACTATTGTTGTATTGTATGTGTTTTCGTGTGGAAGTAAATCTATGCTGTATAACAATCTTCCGATTGCTGAACAAAAAAACGGCATATTTATAATCGAATGCCGAGGTTAAAAGAAAGTTTTTCTTGGGAACCCAAACTACTGCATTAGTTAGTTGACAAAAACTTTTAATCGTTGGTTGTTATTCGTGAAGTAGATGTGTATAGGGATCCTACTTAAGTCGTTTGTGGGATTCTACATTGCGTCTATCTGCAGCCGCTGATTTTAGATCATTAGTGAAAGCAGACATGTAACGCTTCACTAACGGTACACGTTTTCATTTAATACCATGTGCCTTCGTTGTTTTATCACGAGGAGTCACCCAACTTTTACTACGTTTAATACTCAGAGGATGTATTTGTTATGGAAAGCTAGGAATTGTGTGATCTCTCAGTAATTTAAAACAACCGCCCTGTATGAAAGAGCGCTGCGGAGTGAGCATGCCTCATTCATTCCGTGTTATACTGAAGAAGATCCGTCTCGGTACGACGACGAAGACGCCACATCGAGATACCGAACAACTGTGGACCACCAACACGGATAATCGGCTTTGACAAAGACGAAGACGTCGAAACGTTTGCCAAATGAAAGTTATTCATCAACCTCATGTAAGCTCAACAGCTTGGAGCATGTGTGATCCCTTGTCTGTTTTAGTCCGGATGTCTTTCTTGCGTTGCGAAACGTGCTAAGTTCCGTCTGCATTCATCTACATAGTGCTGAGAAGTCGACTTTTGTATCAGATTATGATTTTTAATGCCTTGTTTTACACTAAAGATTCTCATAGTTTTCTTTATAGAAACAAGATCAACGTCAAGCGAAGCAATGGCTTCAGATGCATGGTCAGGTCCTGTAATAGAAACGAATAGAACGATTGACGACGATATTGATGAATTCCTAGACGATCTTTTCGAGTGATGTATTTGTTTTTCTTTTTCTATTTGTTCTGACGGAAAATTTGTTAACACATGAGACTAGGTCTAATGTTTCGCAGTGCAGTGTTTAACGTTCAACCAGTGCGTATTGTCTAAAGCGCCCAACCACGTATGTATTGGGTTGAATGCGCAACATTGCGAGTGTGTTGGTACTACTGTACATAGGTGTTGTCATGTGTATTCATACATCATTCCTAGGTTTTCGGATTTCTCGTATTATCAGGTACTTATTATGACTTATTGGAAAGGTATATTGTGTTGATGAAGTCGTCTTTTCCCCGTTTGTTCTACCCGTGTCCATTTCTCGTTTATCATCTGGCACTTGTCAGATTTGAGATGTTAATTTGTTCTATTGTGATTCTGCTTTTTGGTGGTCATAAATCATTTTCCAATTACGGGCCACAGTCGAAAAATTGGCTTCTGCATGGATGTGGTTAATTTGTCGAGATGCTCATCTGCTTAGGAATAATTTGTATTTGAAGAGGGCGTGCGCTTTGTGAACTGCCGCCATGTTGTTCCGGGCCAAATGTTTTAGACAACAAACTACGAATGTGACACTGCATTTATAAATATGGCAGAGATTTAGTTAACGTACTACAGTACTTCTAACACTTGTGCAGCCTGTTTTCAGGAGCAGTGGATAATTCTGCGGTTCCTAGCAGAATTTACATTTAACTTGTAATTTGCTCGTTAGGAAAAATCTACTTCCCATTCAGTCTGGACAGCTTGAAGAAGTTCAGTTTGTCGTCACCGTAGTTCACTTTTAGCCGACCTGCATGGTATGTATTGCGAAACAGCAAAGGCAAATGTCGAAGTGTGTCGTGACATCTGAAAAGGTTTCAATCGACGTGGAGCAAATCCTTGCGATGTCCCATGTAGACACATGTTTCTTACCTATTGGTAAACCCATGACCAATTTCTTGAACGAGCAGTAAATACGCATGGAAACAGATGTAACTGGAGAGAACATCGCCAAACATTTTTTCAACGGCAATGTGGTTGTGTTCTAACAAGGGGGACAACACCAGCTAGTATACCAAGACTAAAACAAGTAATGAGTTGTCGACACACTAATGTGGTGAATGTTGTAACCTGATTGCGACAAAAGGGGGATACGTGTAGCTAAAGCAGAAATAATCGTTATTAAACTCCAGGAAAAAAAGAGAAATGTAGGAGAGCATACCAATCTTCCCGTTGATATACCCATTCATAATAGTTTGGAAGCTTTTTTAGCTACCAACCTGCGATGTACACTTGAGTTCGTCCTTCCACCAGTGTACTCATGTGGAGAAGACGTTTCTCATTTCCACCTTGGTAGTCCAGCTAAGTGTAAACCCATGCCAGAACAAGCCTAGGGAGCTGCTCCTGACTATCATCACGGAAAACGGTAAGAATAAAAGTATCATGCCAAAAGTGTGACGCTTTATTTAGTTGAGTAGGGGAGGCAAATGAACATGTGGAAGGTAACGGATCAATTTGAGAAGGAGCTACTTCGCTTGGTACGGAGGAGAAAATAGGATTTGCTGATCCCAACCTACCCTGTTTCACTGCTAAAATAACTACTAAATCTTCTGGACGCAGGGGAACACACATGCGAATACTATAACATTTCATATTATAACATTCGTGAGTGACGGTTGCAAGGTGAGGAGAAATGAATAGAGGAAGTGCAAGGTCCCACACAACTTAAGATGGGTAATCTTAGTGAGTAGGTAGGCGTAGCGATGAAGACGAATTGATTCCATCGGTTATCCACGAAGGAGAACTGGTTTCAATCAAATAAAAAAGAAGTGTAAGACTAGGAATGGCAGTAGAGCTCGGATATTTAGTATTTGAATACAGTAATTGAAATGAAGGGACAGATAGAATCGTTACAATCAGGACAAGACAATTAGGCCCACGTAAATTTAGGATTACTTTCCTTAAAAAACGAGTTACTCTCAGTTCCATTATGTATTGCAACATAACATATTCCCCATGAGGACTGTGGTTCATAAGCGCCATTAGATCGCGAACGAGGATAAAGCATTTTCAACGAGCATTTTCAACGAGCATATCTGACAGCTAATCTCGAAGAATGAAGGCTTTGGGACAATGAAAGTACATGCACTTGAACTATAAATGATATCAGTTGACGTCTGGAAAGGCTAATCGCTACTTGAGTTCACCTTACGTCTATCAAATTCATTAAAAACAGTCGAACCGAAATCGTAATTACTTAGTAGAGTATATAAAGCGCCTGAGTATCGGCACTATATCCTTTGAGGAGATTCTGAGAAAAACTTCAGTAAATCAGGTACTATCTAAGAATAAATGGTGCTATACTAGATTCCAGGCCATTTTAAATATCTTGACTATATCTGAATGTTTCAGGCTTTTGGCCATTCTCCTCGTAAAAGTTGCTGATAACCATGAAGATCCAGACTGTGTTGATCTCATCAAAGATCTCTGAGCAGAAGAGGATTAGGCGATAGTATTTTTCTTTTGCATAAACAAGGTTGTTCAGGTACCTCGATAAACTGGATTGTATCGAGATATTAGCAGCAATAGAAAAATAAAATCGGAGGTTTCGACAAGTTCGGCAGCATTTTCATTGAACTGCTCGTGAAGAAGAACTCGTCGATAAGCTGAATCAACTCAGAGCAACTTAAGACTTATTTCGTTCGCACGAGACCTACATCTTATTACTAAACAATGTCGATCATCTTCACGTTAATTACGCTACTTTCACTTCTTCTCCGTGGTGAATAACGAAGAAATACCACTTCTCTCGTCTTTAAATGTATTCTCTTTATCATTGTGGAAGGAATACCAATGCTGAAATTTACCGAAGATCGAAGTATTCAATGTGAATTGAACCCTTAAAAACGCCTTCGACAACCAAGAAGATCTCAGTTCCAAACTGACAGCATTGCAGGCTTCAGCGTGTTACGAATGAAAGGGAAACAGAAGTCAGCCGCCTCAAGATTTGGTTGGTTTCAATGGTGAATTGATAAAGTATAATACAAAGGCACAAAAATAGTTGTTATTTTCTTTTCGAGAGATGGGCTGGGCTACAGTCTGACACTTGAGATGATTTTCATGTCTTCTCACTACCGTTAACTTTTTTTGCAAGGAAACTGTGGATGTTAACCAGATGAAGATTTAGAGGTTGAAAAAAAAAACTTTTTTCTGTAGATTACCACACATCTATCTCATCCGTCAATCATCGCTTATGGAGCTAAATAATAGAGGCGTTCATGCCAAAAGAAGCATGTTAGGAGATCGTAATCGATGTGTGCTATGAAGCTGAGAAGCTCATTTGCATCTCTCACTGACAGGAGACGTCATCGAAGTGCGCGAGACGATGAACAGTATCCCCGAAGGAATTGACGACGACTCACTCACTTATCGCTACCGAAGTAGTGAACGTTCCTTTTGTCGGTGCACTTATCGAGAAGGACCTTTGAACTAGTGCATGCTGAGATTTCTGATCATGTAGAAGTATTTTCTAATGCATGAGTTCTCGTAGTCAGCACTTTTTCTGTCAGCCGAATTGTTGCACCATCTCTCTCTCCTAAGTAGGTTATTAAAAACAACTGATAGAATCCGATTTTATTGAAGATCGAGGTATTCAATGTGCATTTCACCTGTAGGATGATCCTAGCAGTTAACATTTCCTCAATGCTACACAACTAATACAAGGGAAGGGTTGCAGCCTAAGCATTTGTTTTTTTTAACACGAAATAGGTATCGCCAGATTTAAAGACCCACTTTTTATTTCTTAATCGCTAGGACCACTCAATTTTTTTCGACCAAGAACGGAAGCGAATCGTTTGTTTATTCTTTAGTTCTCTCTATAAGCGACATATTTCACAATAATTGTTCTATTTTATAATATAAAGTAAGCGAATATTGTGGTTGTGGTGTAAATACTCGGATGTACGGACAGTTTACCAAATCGGGACAAAATTTGTAGATTGAACCATTAAGTGGGAGACGAATTTTTCACGAAACCCGTTTTTATTACCAAGTAATTGACTTTATGATTTTCATCTATAGGCACTTCATACTCACTTTGAGCAAATCAATCAGTGAGTTGTATATCACCGCTCAGACACCATTTAAACTTTAACTGACATTATACTTCCACTTGATTTCTGTGCGGTTGGTCTCTACGTGACATACTTAGTGGAAACCTCATAGAAAGCGGCTCTGAAGAAGGCGAAATCCGCCGAAACGTCAGCTTAATCGTGAACAAAGAATAGTAACACATCGCGTTTGCTCAACAAAAATACGAAGAAAACCCATTTAAACTCTTCTGAACTTTCAAAGACTAAAAAATTTTCGCATAAGAAGTTACAGGATGCTGCAGGATTTTGCTTCGTCCGAAGTGCCGTCAGAACCGAAGTGCAAATTGCTGCTGTTAGTTGAGAGCGGTTTTGACGATGAAATGGATGGACGTAGGAGGAATGGTTGGGTTGTAGCCGTGCATTCGCAATTCTTTACCACGGCCAGCGTCTATGTATTCTATTTCATCCTCATTTAAATAATTTTGCGGGTGCGGAAAATTGGCGGAGCATCCAGGAAATTGAAATATGTCTTGAGGATAATTGCGAAAGAGGCGTCGACCTTTGTTTAGTCTGCCAGAAAACCATCACTAATTATCCTGCAAACAATTCTCGTTGATCAGGGTTTTCACAAAGACAGAAACTGGGTCCTCAATTTCCATGCTTTCTATGTCACTCACTTTTTCTTTCTGTACTTCTCAGTGGTCATTTACGTGAATAAAATGTCTTGTAGAGTATGTCTTACGAAATTCTCTTCAATAGCATGATTATGAATGCATATCCGGAGGGTAATATGATCTGGAACAATTTTGAAATTCCTTTTTTCTGCTTCCCCATAAATCAGTATATCTTTCTTCTCGTGATGCTCATCGCCTACGACACGTCCTGCAAATGGCCAAGCACTTACCGCGGGCTCCTCGTTTTTCTCACTTTCTTCCAATTTTACATCGTATATAAGCTCCTCAATTAATTTCTCAATGTAACAGACACAAATCGTTTGCTGTATTCCAATCAGGCTTTTTTCTTCTCAACGCCATCCATCTTACGCCTGTTTTTCATCGAAAAGAACTGTCGTAATCATGCAGAGTTGCTTCGAATTACTTGGATACTTGGGCGACCCGTCGTCACTGGTTGTTTAGGTCCCAGCAAAAGCTCCATTTTTCGGAGTTTTGCTGGTTTATCCATTGTGTTCAACTGGAATCCCGAAGGTCAGTCTGGTTCCTTCGACTTACGTAATAATACTGTTGTTTAGTTGGAATGCTCATCAAATCTGTTATTCCCGGAATCCCTCGTTATCACACGTTATTTCACACAGTATTAAGACCAGTATTTTAATGTTAGAGGCATACTACGCTTCCATGGGAACCTCTGTGGGGTTGGTCTCCACGTGACACTAAGTGGAAGACTTCTAGAAAGCGGTGAGGGTGCGAAGAACTTACTTTGTTTTCAACGCAAGTAAAATATTTGTTTCGTGTTTTCTTTTCCTTTTTGGTTATGCACGTGTTTGGCTGAGTAGATTGCAGTGAACTTAACCTTTCCAAACTTTGAGAAAAGAGAAATTCGACGAAACGTCAGATTTTTTGCAAATAGAAAATAAAGTAACAACATCGTGTTTGCTCATCAAGAAGGCGGTGGATAATTTTTTTCCATCTTAACTAATTTTATCATAAGGAAGGGAGGCAGAGGTCTATTGGCTCTACTGAAGTCTCTTGTTCTCTTTGTGACTCAACCGTTCCGAATCACGTCAAGACTCCTGAATTTCCGCCTACCCTCGGAGCTGGAGCGCGGCTGAACTCCGCACACAGTGGCAGATTCGCGTCGGTGTTATGATTGAGTTGGGTGATGTTGCGCAAGCATCCACAAGTGATAGATGTGCCTCCCGGGGACAAATCCTTCCCTATTAGCATGTTAATTGCTTGTTGATTCTCAGCGACCACGCCTCCCGGCAGTTCTCTCATTGGTCCAGTTCGGGCGCACTTTAGCTGCTCACATGCTGGAAAATATAATTCCGCTGCCAACACACTACGTTGTAACTAATTCCGTTGGCGATTACGGTATCTCTAGAAAATACGCTGAAGTTGCTCTTGTCGTTGTTTCACTCTTGCACTATTTCTTTTTACGAAAGTAGCTTAAGGAAACGAAAGAATGGGATAAGAAAACGGGGTTAATTTCCTTTCAGTGTTTTGCCTTATCTCTGTCTACTATCCTGACCAGTCATTTTAATCGTGCTAAGACACTAAACTAAATTTATGTCTTGTTATTCTGCTGTTCTACGGAGTTAATTCTTCTTCTATATGATCCGGTTGGTGTTGAAGAGATTGTTGAGTCGGTACTCACAAACATGAACGTCCAAGATGTGTGGAATGAGTATTGGCAGAAGCAATTTGGCATGTCAAATTCGCCATTCAGTGGTAAGTTTAGAAATTCGAAAGCCCTGGACTTTTTTCAAAAAGACACAAATCCACTCTTTAAAACTGGCTATGCTTGAGCTAAACGTGGGATTTTCCTTCTCATTTCTGTCTATTTTGAAAATAAATTACTACTTCGGAGCACTAGTTTTAGAGTTATAAAATATAACACGAAGCAAACACGAAGCAGATGTGGTATCAGTTTTATGAGAAAATAGCTATCGGATCGGATTGTCGGGCTATAAACAATACCGTTGCAGCCCATTCCCCAAATTCTTCTGCATCACTCAAGTCAGCTTGAACGATAATGGAGAAAGAGCTTTAACAACAGAAACAACCCCAGAAGCGTAGCACTCATCAAATTCTCCCCTATTCCTTTGATTTTTATACGCTTCACTCTAGTCATCCAGGGCAACGTAATGTGCACAAAACTTTAATTGCTGTCATTTTTCGCATCTGAAGAACTCTGGCATTTCTATTGCTTGAAAAAACATTCTCAGTCATTATAGCAGTAGTTACTCGTTTAGATAACAGCTACGTTACCAATTGACTAGGAATGGAGCCGATTTTCTTAAAAAAAAACTGTTTAAAATACAAAACATAACTCCGTCAAAACCAGTTGATTAAGCAGTTGCTCCTAACATCCTAAACTGATTCACTGACTAAACTGATAAACTGATTTCTCTAATTCACAGCTCTTGTGATACAATCTACGGAAACTGCTGAAGGACCCAGTGGATCGTCAAGAAGTTCGAACAGTACACCTGAAGCAGTGAGCTACGTAGCCCAGAGTAGGATCGTCTATCTTATTTTGCTCTGCTACTTGAGCTCATAAATCAGGTTTTCATAAAAATAGAATAGTTTTTAGACTTTAAACAGATTTCCTATGAAGGAAAAATGAAATTCTATGTCAAATAATGCATAAAGGGATAAAAAACCGACAAATTGTACTGCTAAAATTGTTTTGATATATTGTAGATCTGTCGCCTTCATGTGACCCAGTAAGTACCAAAAGGCGGCGAACTCGCACGAATTTTTCTGGATGGCAGCTGGAAGAACTGGAAAGCGCTTTTGAGGTAGGCAAATGATTCCTAAAGGTGAATGAAGGCGCGATGTCAGGCGTTCGTTATTTCAGAAAAAAGGATCTCAATAGAAATTGATAGACCGTCAAAATCGCTGAACGAATTTTGTTTGTGACAATCCGGAAAAAATTTGATTGTAGAAATCATCCACACATTGACACGAAAAAGAACTCTACATAAAAAAAGTAGGAAATGAAGGCTTCTAATTTCTATAGAAAATTCTCTGAGTGTCAATATAAATTATCTCTTCCTGTCAGTTCTACGAATTTAAACGTTTTTTAAACGCTAAATAATTAATAAATCAATATTTTAGAACTACCTGAGAAACAGGCGAAACGAAGGTTTTGCATGGTGTGGTGGTGAACGCGTTACTCACCTGAAAGGATAATAGCGCGTTCGTTCCCCACTGCAGACACCTGCGGTCCAGAGTTTTGCAAATATCTCAGCATTATTGTGGCTATACGGATTTTAACAAGTAGTGTTTTGTAATAGATCTTTATAGTTTCATGGATTTTCAAGAACTAGTTCGAAACCCAGAAGTGAGATAACTGAGACACTCCAGATTTGACTCCTGCTGAGGCTTGAGTGACTAAAATGCCCATCATTCCTCTTTTATAGACATAATGCCATTAATTGAAAGGATTTCTTTCGTTGGAGTTAACACACAGACCTTACCTTGTAATAGATTTGTGTGGAGAATAAAGTAATGAAATAAGAACAATATTAAATGCCTAGAATACAATATATAGTACACATTCTACCATGAATTCCAGGCAAGCCACTATCCAGACGTCTTCATGCGAGAAGCGCTAGCGCTCAGATTGGACCTGTTGGAGAGCCGAGTACAGGTAGAAATCTTTGGAAAATTCATTATACATAGTAGTTTAAAGCTACAGTTCAGCTACATTTATTGCAGTTTACAACAGTTTGGTTATAATTCGCGCCATACACTGCCACGAAAAGGAAAAGGCAGTAAATAAAAAGTGATAACAGTTTAAGTTACCTTATTTTTCTCTTATTATCTCGGCTACTTCTAAGCGCCTTTACGCTTAGTTTATTGAGAGTTCTGACACCCCTCTGTATTCCATCTCGTCAGCGTATTAGCATTTCACTAGGCATATGTCGTTATCGCTCCTCACTTTCCTTAGGCATTCACATCAGTTCGACGATGGTCGTTTCTTTGTCATGCTACCATAGGCCATAAGTTTACTTCTTTGGCTTGCAAATATAATAGGCGCACAGTCTCTAGGGAGCGTTTATCTGCGCTTATTGCTGGAAATCTCTCTGGACCGCCTGAATTAGCGTTGAGACGTCAAAACAATGATAGATTCAGCGTAAGCAGTTAAGCACTGAAGCGCTGGGGCACCAAGCGCATGGACTACTACCGTAATCAGGCATGCTTCAATAGAGACGTCTACAAAGCTCTTTCTTTATCATTTTTGAACACCAATAAAAGCCGCTTTCTCAAATAGCATCAGGAAAGCGTCGAAGCTTGTGCATGCATGACATGAGTTATTGTAAAGTCTTCAAACCGTAATTTAGAGAAGAGTTCTTGCTTCCGATTCTCAAGGCTTATTCACTGGTTCACCTCCTTACCTTAGCGTGTAGTGTTACTGGATATCGAATCACGATGTACAGAAGACATTTCGTACCATCGACATGTACCACGAAGCTGAGGAATTCGAATTTCCTTCTGGAAGTCCAGCCACGGATGAACGCGTTTCAACAATTGCCATCGCCACTGTCCAGATGGAAACCAACTCGTAACAAGTAGTCTTTCTTCCTATTTCTAATGCTCAGTTCCCTTCCGTCGTGAGAGCTTGAGAAGAACTTGTTACTATTTTGGGATTCCAAAGAAAACATCTTGTAAAACCAGCATAGCACTATTCGAATGGAACTAAAAATGCGTAATTTGTAGAGGATGGCGATCGATGTCTTAACCCATCCAAGTGTTTGTGGATCCTCAACATTCCATGAATTTCATTCCGATTTCTACGATCTTGAGAGCGAATTTTTCAAAATTTGGTATTTTACTAAATGCTAAACTCCTCCACCAAAGGTGAATTAATAAACTAAAGCTAAGTTAACAGCGTTTTAACAGCTTTCTAGGCAGTTATTGAAGTAACACGAAGAATTCGGAACGCTTTTTGACCGGAGTGCTATTTAAGGATAGGTTTCGATTTGTTGTTTTACTTAGAGAAACTAATCGGTTCTGCCGACTTGAAGGAGCGGAGTCGTTCGAAGTGACAAACGACCAGATAAGCCAGGCCAAATTCATCTCACAAATCGAAAGATATCCAAGAAAACAATTGGAAACGTCAATGAACATCCTCAAATTTGAAATGGATTTCGATCCGTGCGGTTCTGGCGGGCACTGAGATCTAAATAGTAAAATACAACGGCACCGTAAGGACCAGACTGATTTGCAGCGTGGAACGGGTTCTTAAGAGCCTCATTTTAATTTTATTTTATTATGAGATAATGTGCAAGGATAAATTTCTTTTTATTCTACACGCGGAGTATATTGCGCTTATTGCGAACACTAGTGAAATGAGCCATACTAAACAGGAAAAGTGGTTGACATAGTCCACTCCCTCTTTCAGAAGTTAAGTTATGCTTTAATAAAATGCCTATAAATTATTGAACTGATAGAGATAGTAACTGGGCTATTCAACAATTCCTTCTTTAATAAAAAAAAAGGGAAGAAGTGTAGTAGGATCCTCAAAAAGCCTGTTTCACCAGAGGAAGCTTGAAATACTTCTGTATGAGCTGTCTTGATGGATTTTCATCTTGCCACTAATTCGTCTTGAACTCTTTGAAAATGCTAAATTTCAAGGAAGAAAAAACTCTGCGACCTTCCTAAAAGTTGTTTTTGTATAGGGTTTTCATATTGCATAGTCAACAACAGAAGAACTTTTCCTTCGTATTGATGGAGCTTCCTAGATATTTCACTTGGAATTATTCAAACAAAATTCCGAATTTTTCCGTTGTTACTATTGGGAAGTGTGTTTGAATTACAGGGTTCATAATGGTTTTCCGAGAGTGGCCAGTATGACATCTATAGGTCTATTTTTTCCGATGGTTTATTTTAACACAAAAAGCTGTTGTCCTACAATTTTTGTTGTCAATTGATGGCTTGTAGAACACAGATCCGTTAGGCGTTGGTCCGAAAAAGTTCTATTCTGCTCTTAGAAATATATAGAAAATTTATATACTTTTATAATAAGCATGTATTGGTACTATATCTTTAAGAAACTATTCCAATTCTAACCACAATGATGCTGAGACATTTGCAAAACTCCGGACAGCAGGTGTCTGCGGTAAGGAATGAACGCGCTATTACATTTTCCGGGAGCTAACGCCTTCACCACCGCATCATGCGCGTCCTTCGCTTCTCCTGCCTCCCAGCGAGTTTCAATTTTAATCGCCGTCGTAAATGTTAGTTACCACATAGAGTGGGCGGGTATAAAAATAAAAAATATTGAAATAGAAATTCATAAGTTGAAAAACACAAGTGCTGACAGTAATGGGCTTATGTGGTGGAACATAGTAACACAAAGTATGTAACAGCATGGATATTATATCGTCCACATCTACAGAAATATAGTGCAAAGTCTTTCCTACAATACTTTTATTTTCATAGCCTACGAAGTCCTCTAGTTGTCGAAAAAGCATTGTTTATTTTCAAAAAACCAGCAAGTCCATGCCCTGAAAAATGGGCCTCGTCTTGTCCGTGACAAGCTGTTGATTACCCGCCGTGGCGAGACTGTTAATGAATTCAGTGGTCTAAAAACTCAATTCGACAGTATGTGCTTAAGGTGTGGTTCCAAAATCGCCGTGCTAAGTGGAGGAAGAAGGAGAACATAAAGAGTGGATCGAATGTGAAACACGAGTCACTGAACGAGGATGGTCAGCACTCTAACAAGGTAATAATGACAACAAGGCCAGTATTCGAGGGTGTTTTCAGTTATTGTAACCATAAAGGGACGCGTGTAGCGTAGCGGTTAGAGGCTCCTTGCAATGCGCACACTGTCATTGGTTAATTCCCTTGCCTCGAACTCAAGGAGCCTTCCATCCTTTTGAGGTCAGCTCATTAATGTTAGATTGAATTGTGAGGATAAATACACTGACCTGACACACTGGTGGGTCACCGCGAGTCATTGTATGCACCAGATATGCATACAATCATCTCTAGCGATTCTTGATGAAGTTGAATGCATCGCTTAGAGATTGATCAACGTCGGGAGCTTCATCCTTTCTATCCTGTTTTCTTGTGTCCACAAAGCGAAAATTTTTAGAGCAAAGACTGTGGTGCGTTTTCGATCGAGAATCTCTTGGCAGCTAGTCGAGTACCGCGTGGACGACGACCAAACGCCAAGTACCCCAGAGTTCAGGTGGATGTTTATGCAATGAAAACGACACACGTCTAACAGTTCATGCTTGAAAAGTGCATTAGTTAATGGAAAGTAATTAATACAGATGAACAAGCTCGTTTTTCTTAACTACAAACTATACAGTATTGGTTGTTATGGCAGTTAATGTTGCCTGTAAGCCTTCTTTTTCACCAGGGTTCTAAGGTCGAGCAATGAATAGGCATTTAAGCCGTTATGAGTCGTTTCCCTTCAACTTGCTTTCACAAGCAATGTTAATACATCACGTGTCGAATGCTTGTAAAATAGCTAAGAAAAATTGGGAGCTAGAGCTTTTAACAGTTTTATTTACTGCCTATTCTTTTTAATGGCAGGATAAATTGCGAAATATAACTTTCAATGACGTTGTGATATTTTCAAAACTCCGAACCGCAGGTGTCTGCCGTGAGGAACGAACGTGCTGTTGTTTTTCCGGGGAGTAACGCGTTCACCACCACACTATGCAGGTCCTTCGTTTCGCCTGTCTCTCAGCTAGTTCTTTCGCGTTCGTTCCCCACCGCAGACACCTGTGGTCAGGAGTTTTGCAAATATCTCACCATCATCGAAAACTAGAGCTTTCTTTCATTGATTCAAGAATTTTTGATTCCGTGGCAACCCATCTTTTATTTTTAAAGGAAACTCATTGGACAAGGAAATGTTTTTGTTTTGCTTGAAAGCGATCGTAGACGACATCACTGGTATATTCATCATAGGGATGCCGACAGTGGTCTGGTTGGAAACTCTAGCTGTGAAATTTAAGAAACTTCAGAAATCGATAAATGTAACTGGAACTGATTATTTATGATTCCTAAACCAAGCCTCTTAGATGAGCGACCACAACAACCGTCAGTATTTAGACAGTTATATTACTGGTATTCTTCCCAATAGTTTGCTCCCTCATCGTCGCTGCGAGGTGCTCCCGAGCGCTGGGCTGCGATGTACAGCGCAGAGATACGTCTCCATAGCAGGGCTACCCAGGCTAAGAAGGAGTCCGTCTTTTACACCACAGAGCCCAGCTAAGAGTAATCCAATACCAGAATCCACAATCGTCCTGGTATAAAAGTCGCATGATGGCAAATTTCGCTCCGATCTACAAGGTCGGCGAATGCCTGTGGTGGTGAGGACCTGGGACAGACCTTTGCCAGGTTGACCTCGGGACTTTAGGGAACAGCAATGGCTAACCCAGCAAAACTCCGAAAAATATGAATTATTCTGGGACCCGCGCAACCAGTGAGGATGAGCCAACCAGGTATTCAAGTAAGTTTATGCTGCAAAAATAACATACTTCATGTCGCATCAGTAAGAAATATCCAGCCACAAAATTAACGGAGTAAGAAGGAAAACTCTTTACCATCGAAAACTGTGCTCACACTTGTTAACAAATTTCTAAGCTTATAGTCTAGTCGAAAAATGGTTTCATTTCTTCAATTTAGTAAAATATTCCCGTACTCAAGAACTGAATAAGGGAAGGAAGGGGATCTGTATAGCTATAAAGGTCCATTGGTATCATCCAAGTCTGTCCAAGTCAAATGGGCCTTTTCAAAATGCCTTAAAACTTCACGTCGGCACATAGTTGAAGTAGATCGTGCAAGTCCAACATTTTCGATTTGAGTCGCTATTTTGGCGACTGCTGTTTAATTCTTTCCTGGAATGCTGTGAATCCCTCGCTATTTAGCTGGTTCTCCAATCATCCCCACAAGTGACCTTTCCTTATGACTTGGAGGGAGTTTCCTAGAAATGTTAAGCTTCTCAGCTTAGCTCACCTAGCCAAAAAAATGAACTTTTCGCTGTGTTCAATTGTTCCACTTTCAGAAATTTCCTTCTCAAGACAAGGGACCATTTATAAGGATTCTATAAGTTAAAAAAGATATTTTTTCACTGGTCTGTTCATAGGTTTTGTTGACGTTGGGCTGATTTTCGATTGAGATTCTATATTATACTGATACAAATTCGACGTGTTCATATGCAAGCCCGGCTCACCATAAACGAAAATAAGAAACTGCCGACCTAGTGAAATAAATTCACACACAAGGTGCAAATCCGTCTTTAATTCTCAAGGGACGGCGTCTGATCACTGTGTCGATTTGATAACGTCCTGGCATTGCTGTTTCGGAACTCTAGACAAAGAACGATCCTGTGACAAATTGATTAAATGGGGAAATTCCGAGATATAGTCATGTTTTTGCGAAGTGTATTTAAGTAACTAGGGATCGGTTCCAATCCTCGCTCGCTTTTGTTGCTGCAGGTACCAGGTTAATGAACCTTCAAGAACATCACCCTGGTCATGTACTGCTAAGTGCAACTATAGATCGAACCTTGTTTTCGTTGATATCGAAATGATAAACAAGAATTTGCATTTAAAAAATAGGTATGAAAACCTTGAAATAGATAATCTAGTAGTTTAGGCTTGTAAGAACCTTTCGCCGTTCATGTTGCCGTTGTTCCCGATCACACAGCCGGCTGGTAGAAGGATTTGCGAGCCATCACCACTGACGCAGCCACCAGTATCGCAGCCCACTTCTCAGCAATCGTCAAGGGACCAACTTACCCAGCTTCTGCTTGGTACATAGAAATCCATACATATATTTGTCGCTTGTTTCGCGAGCTTGCAATAAAGTAATTCTTGCGTTACTGTATTCTCGAAATGTTAACCCGCCTCATTTTATTGGATTTTTCTTATTTTAACTTTTAATAGCTAATGAATGGTAGCCTTTTTCCATTATTCTGTTGGTACCACGAAAAGAGTTTCATAAGAATTCAAAATGATGCCTACTCGCAATCACTTCATCAACGTAGACGTCGATCGTAGAAAATAATGGAGTGGACACAATGGCGGAAAACGATTATCTATCAGACTGTCCTCAGCACACAGTGAGAGATGACTTTGCTTACAACTTCACTATTTGATTCTCAAAACGTAGTTTTCACAGCCGTGTGTCCTCGTGATGTGGGCTTTCGTAGTCGAAAAAGTGAAGTTCTTATTGGAACAGTGCTCTACTCCGGAAGATTCGATTTGATAGCACTACGAAAGTTCATATCTCGAAGACAAGCACCTGAGGATAATCGATTTGGATCTACCCGTCTCTAAAGAAACTGAAGACATCTACCTGTCCGCTAAATAGATCTTGATAACGACCTCGTATAAACTGAGAAATATGAAAAAATATGAAATATTCATGACGTAGTTAAATGATAGTTGGTTTGGTTAAGTGGTTGGTGCGATATTTTTCTTGGAGTCACTGTCTTATTCCCGCTCTGGTGCATTCTCATTGCTACTATTATTCTTATTGCAGTTTTAGTTACCACAACAGGATAGGCGATTACTTACCCACGAACCTTCGGGATTTAATTACCTAATATGTTAAACCCCTCCCCAATTTACCGTGTTTTTTTGGTCGAACGGTGTTATTATTAGCCGAACTACGGTGTAAAGGTGTCCATCCTTCGGTAAAACCACCTAAGTTGAGAAGGAGCTCCATATTTCATCCGAATTACGGCTAATAGTAAACTTGTTCTACAGAAAAAACGTGAAACAACCTAAAGCCACCTTTCCATCAAAAAACAATGAAAAAAGCATTATATCAAAAGTGCCATTCCTTTCGTTTCCCTTGAGAGCACGAAGTCTGACATGTGCATTCTGCTTCAAGGACGAATGGAATTTACTAGTGATTGATCAACTTGCTCAGCGATTAAGGGCTTAACATGTGATGCATACAACGAATAGCGAAGCTCTACTACGATAAGTCTAGCTTAAACAAGGTCCCTTTGAGCTCCAACTTTATTTATTGCGAAGGAGAGTCAGCTACAAAACGCTGCTTAAAACGAGCAGAATTGGAGACATCAGTAGCATTGATCAAACTACCACCATAGAATCATTAGTTAGTTTGTAGGCGCCTATATGTTCACCTAAATACAACACAAAATTGTATACTGTGCCATAACGGTAGAGACGGTGAGTGCACGAGTTTGGGTACTGTTCATATCTTCTTTTGTAAAACGCGAAACAAACATTAGTGAAATGGGTAGACCACCCTGCATCCGTACATAAGAACACCTATTAAACTTAAAATTAAACTAAGTACTTCGCCAAGCGGGGTAGGGCAGAAACATAATGGAGAAGATTTTGAAGTAGGAGTCACTTCCCTCGCTCAGCAATCTAAAACTTTAGGTCGCAAAAAATTCGGTAAATTTTGGATAAATTCCAAAAATCCAGAAAAGAACACGAATTCGAAGTGCTTTGTGATCACGCGTGAGCTCGTTGCATTGCTCAGGTTAATTTTTTGAGCAGGGCCAGCCATTACCTTACCCATGTAAAACTGTAAGGCTGGTCTCTGTCAATAAATGGTTGGCTTATAAAGCGTAAAAGGGTGATTGTTTTGGAGGAACTGCTTCCCATGCCATTGAAATTTAACTGTTGAAAAACACCGAAGAACATCTCTTAATAACTCGAAAGACCGACTTTCTATAAACCTCGGCATAGATAGTTGATATATTTATTTATGTGACCTTATAAACTGATCTTCTTAAGCTGACGCGAGGTTGGTACAGATCTTCGTTGTCGTTGTCGTTGTTTTTGGTGTTGTTGGTCGATGGCTGACGTTTCGGAGATTTCGCCTTCCTCAGAGTCGTGTTGTTACGAATGGGACTCCCAGTCTTTTGAGTTATTAAGAGATGTTCCAGCAAAACATTTCCTACTTGCTAGGGACGTGTTATCATTAAGACAAAAAATCGTCTTAATGTGACAAAAGAGGCACTTTCTCCGCCGCTGCTTAAAACATCGAATTATTCCTAACTTTATAAGAGTCTCACTCGTAACATCACGGCTCTGAGGAAGGCGAAGTCGCCGAAACGTCAGCCATCGATCAATAACATCAAAAACAACGACAACGACAACGAAGATCTGTACCAATCTCGCGTCACCTTAAGAAGATCAGTTTATAAGATCACATAAATAAATATATCAACCGAAGAACAATTAAATGTTACGCTTTCCATGCTGTGTTTTGGAAGTGTCCGACTGAATAGATTGCGTTTAAAACTGATCTTTCCAGCTCTGAGGAGGACTAAATCCTCGGAAACGTTAACGATTGCAGAATAAATAGATAGCAACCTCGTATCTTCTCACTGAAAAAATATTAACACACTAGATCTAGTCAACATGTAGTTTTTCGTTGTTAAGGAAGCACGAGGTGGATCAAAAACTTTATTCGGCCAATGTTTCGGCGCTCCGCTCTCTTCAGAAACAAGTTGATCCGAGTCGAACGTGCACAGTTGCTCCTTTTTCCTGTCTGCGTCCATCAAATCGCTAATGAGCACAGGCGAGTGAGGTTAGTTCATTCAGGCGGTGTTCCATTGGATTGGTCTCGAATCGATCACGAAGACTCATATGAAGAGAAAGAACAACTGCGGGAAATAGACTCGGAACAGAAACGTTGGCTTATCAGTGCAAAAATGCATATTGATTGGATTTCCTTGGTACAGTGTGAAATGCGCAAGCCTCCCAAAAGGGATTGATCTGGCCCGGGGTCCAACTTTTGCGAATATCTCAGCATTGTTGTGGTTGATTTCGTATAATACCCTGCCGTGTAAATGTAGTAGGCAGTAAATAAAAAAGTAAACATGTTAATTAGTTATGCCAAAGTTAAAAAGTGACTAAGTTTTACATTTGAATTCTTTCCTGATTTCAAGCAGAACAAATTTTCTATTTCAACATATGGAGACATCGGTTGTCTACAAGAGGTGTTGTCGTGGAGTGGTGCCATTATTGCCACATGGACACGGTGTGTTAGGGTGTGAAGTGCAGGTTTTCAGTGTCGCTATCAATTACAGTTATGAGAACCGTCAATTTTTAAAACTAATGTGGTCAGTTCATATAAATGTATAAGTAGTAGAAACATTACAATTTGGATTGATTGTGTTTTTGTTGACCATCTTCTCTGTTTCAATTCGGACTCTTTCTTATACTGGCTTTACTATAACCATTGTTGGTGTCCTTATTGCTTATTAATGCATTGCTCTTATCAAAGCATTTACAAAAGGAGAAAAATGCCTAAGGGAAGTTCACAGATAAATCCACTGTTTGGATGATGACTTTCTTGGGACATCTGTAATCCGACCGCTTTGTTTTCCACTATACTCATTTTCCTCGAATAAGTTGGGCCAGATATATATCCTTGGGCATGGTTGTGATATCTTTTGCACGAATCGCACACAGGTTTGTGTTTTCGAAGACTCCGACGAGATAAGCCTCAGAGGCTTCCTGAAAAGCGATTACACCCGACGACTGGAGGAGCAAGCCGGTATTGAAATGTTGTGCTGTCTTCCGCACAAGACGTTGGAATGGTAATTTGCGGATTAGCAGCTCCATCGGTTTCTGATAGCGATGAATCTCCTGCAGGACTACGGTTCCAGGACGATAGCGATGGGGCTTTTTCACACCACCGGTGACCGGTGCCGTTTCGAGTGGCCTTCGCGGCTAGTTGTTTTCGTGGCGCGTTCCCTCTGGTCGATTTGCTAGAGGTCTGCTTGGTACGAACCATAACGGATAGATTGTTTGCTAACGGCAGATCCGATATACTCATTTTATTTAATTTATAATACATAGCCCTACATCAACATACTGCGTTGAAGGTTTTGTTTTCTGCCTTCTATAATTTTCTTGGCAGGTTACTAAGCGAAATACAACCACAACGTTGCTGAGATATTTGCAAAACTCTGG